TTTTTCAATCCGTCCAGGGTATGACGGGTGCTACTTTCCCCCACCCCCATAAAAGTTCACCCCGTATGGCTCCTGCGCTAGATTTTGTATTCTTATTTCTTTGGGAGACTTCAATCTACCTGGGGTAGGTGCTGAGGGTAAGTCATGGGAACCTTATTCACTCTCCCTCCCTCTGTGCCTTTAAGAAGCCTGAAGTCATTGGATACCCTAAAACGCATAGCATTGAGCCATTTTGAGCTTGGTTACTTAGGTTTCAGAATACCTATGGGGTCCAAGCCTTTTGGAGAACTAGATTGTAGAGGATGAAAGAAGCACAATTTCCCACTGCCACCCCCGTAAGACTGTCCACTCCCGTAAGAGAGACTAAGCAACTGAGTACAGTCTAGAGGTCTTGATCGGGTTCATTTTCTCTGCCAGTTAAAGAATTAGAAAGCAGGCGAAATCTGGAAACTTAACAGTTGGTAGCAGAAACATCGCAAATACGGAAGACAGAATCGGCGATTACGGTACAGCAAGGTGTACACAGGATAAGGAACACATGCGAACAGACACACAAAGAAAGACCGCGCTACAAACTAGAGCGCGCGGAAGGGGTTGCACTCCGAGAGTCTAAAAATCCAGTCTCTTCCGGAGGACTGGAGGTTTCAAAGGTCTCGTCTTCCTCCCCTGATTTAGGGTTGGTCAGTTTGAAGAAAGCTTGGATGGTTGATTGGCCCAGAACTGTTGTATGGCACGTCCTAAGCAGGCCTTGAGCTTGTTGAATCAGGGAGCTGCTGGTGGAAGACAGAAGTGTGGGGGTCCCCACGAGCTCTGCTGCCAGCAGAGAAAGATCCGCGTGAAGGAAATTCAGTTCAGCCTGCCTTAGCTGGCATCCGTTCAAACTTCTGGAATCTGACCCTGCGCAGTTTATTTTATATTTTATTTGCATATTTAAACAGTAAAACTTTTGAAAAAGGTTTACTGCTGACAGTGATCACGACAACCCTGAAGGTATGACCACACTGAAACTCCCCTGCAAAGTATATGGCTTTGGCAAAGCACCTGTGCCCTCTTCCACAAGAGTGGGTTCTGCTGACTGAGAAACAGTGCTCAGGCTGAGGGGAATTCGAGTGAGAGCTAGCTCCACAGAACAGTAAAATCACCAGTTATTAAACCACAGCCACTTCTGCCTTACCAGGGAACAGGTGTCAGCTTCTTCCGTTGAAGAAAAAATAGGTGTGTGTGTTTGACAATTCTGATTTCTCCAGTGCTCTCTGTGAGCACATGACCCTCATGCCCTCTACACAAAAGCCCCCATAGCCTATGTTTTAAGCTGCCAGGCTGGTATCAAGTTAGGAGGCTGAAGAAGTCGGCCCTTTTGACAATTCACTGCTTGTTATCTGGCCATGACTTACCTCCCTGTCTATCTACCAGGGAGTCTCAATAGGACTACGTAACTATTGGACTGTGGCACAAGTTGACTTCAATTGGCCCTACTATACCCAAGGATTAAATGGATTGTCAGTATCTTGCCAAATTTGGAGGAAGTATGATGCTCTCTCTGTTGACCCCCCCCCCCCCCCCCCCCCCCCCCCCCCCACCCCCCCCCCCCCGCCAATCTAAAGATTCAAGTTGGCAGCAAAGAAATGAACTGACATCAGGTGTCAAGGTGTTGGGAAGCTCCGCCAGCCCCTTCCTCCCATTACAGACCCAGTGCTGCCAAAGCAGCTCCTCCCCTGGGAATGCACAAGACTACCTACAGGCTAAGAGTCAGTGCAAAGATCTGCTCTCATGTTCTCTCTCCCGCCTTCTTGAGAGTCACCCAGGAGTTGCTTCGCTCTCCTCTGTTTATTAAGTCTGTATTTATTAATTCAGTTTGATTTGGCTTAATACCTCGTGGAGGAACCCAATAACCAGGGCTCCAATGCTTATCACAAGGCTGTAGAATGGAATCAAATACTCACTAAATATATCAACTGAGAGAAATGCATAACCCCAAAGCCATAAGCTCCTGCATTGTGGGTTTGGAATTTAACAGTTGCTCCTCTGGCTATTAGTGAAGGAACTCTGGCCAACTCCTGACAAGCATAGCTGGCAGGCTTTGTCTCCCCCCCTTCCATTCCTTCTACCTTGCTTTAAAAAAAAAATGGTTAGATCACATCCCTAAAACTAGCCCCCAAGGTCTATTCCCTTATTTGGCCACTTCCTCCTTCTGAGGCTGTCTACCAAGGTACAGCTATCGAAATATTAAAGTTTAGAGATCAAAAGCTCCCTTTGGTTCACATGCCTAACCAAAATATACCACCGCATCCTAGCCCATTCTAACACAGACAGATCTCCCTTTTCCCGCTCCTTAACAACTACATCTGCAAGGTCGTTTGCTCCTATTTTTCTGCCTGGGTCAGAAAGCAGCCACTTTAGCTTTTCTTCACCATTAACAAAGGATCTCTCTGTGAAATAGATGTTTGAGTGTGATCTGTGTGGGGCCCAGGTCACACAGCTGCTATGGCAGACTTGATAGAGACAGCTAAAAAGTAGGCCTGAATTTCTCGGTTTACTGGTAGGCATCACTGGGTTCCAGAAAAAGCCATAAGCTGACACTACCCAGGGAGGGCCAGCATCTAAAGTAAAGTACCTGACATTCCAACTATTAGGTAAAACCACCAGAAGTCCCTGAGCCCAGGGCTCACCTATTCCCCTTTGCCAAGACCCCTAGACAAATGTTGGTGGGAGTGGGATGCTTGTTTGTCCCCACTGCCCAGCTAGCTTACACCCAAAATAACCACACAGAAACTGTATTAATTAAAACAATGCTTGGTCCATTAGCTCTAACTTCTTACTGGCTAACTCTTACATATTAGTTTAACCCATTTCCATTAATCTGTGTATCTCCACGGGGCAGTGGCTTACCGGAGATTCTAACTGGCGTCCATCTCAGGCAGAGGATCCACGGCTTCTCTCACTCTGCCCTTCTTCCCAGCATTCAATTCTGTCTTCTCCGCCTACCTAAGTTCTGCCCTATCAGGCCCAAAGCAGTTTCTTTATTCATTAACCAATAAAAGCAATACATGAACAAAAGAACCTCCTACACCAGACAAATGTCAGCCAACCCTGAAAATTCCCTCACCCCAACCTCTACTATGAAAAAAAAATTACCGGGGCTGAAGAGATGGCTCAGTGGGTTAAGAGCATTGCCTGCTCTTCCAAAGGTCCTGAGTTCAATTCCCAGCAACCACATGGTGGCTCACAACCATCTGTAATGAGATCTGGTGCCCTCTTCTGGCCTGCAGGCATACACACAGACAGGATATTGTATATGTAATAAATAAATAAATATTTTTTAAAAAAAGAAAAAAATATTACCCCAACTGGGCTGGGCACTCTTTGTTTTTAACTGCTGTGTTGGACAGATGAAAGGTCCAGGCTTGAGCTTGAATAAAAGCTCTTTGCTTTTACATAGGGATTTGGTCTCTGTGTTGGTCTTTTGGGAGTTCCCACCATCTGAGCATAGCAGTTTGTGCCTAATGCAGTCCCAGAGGAAGCCTCCCACCCCAGCCTCTCCTTCAATTAGTGTGCTCCAAAAGAAGTAGGGGCAAAAATTGTTCTTAGTTACTGGTTTTCCTAAGCCATGTCGAGATAACTCAAGTAGGTGAAAAGGTATTGTTGAACCTACATCACATGGAGCCCCCCCCCCCCACAAGACCACCACAGAGCTGGTATCCCATCCAGACACACTGGGGTTTATCGATTAGAAATTGGCTAAGTCAGACTATAATCTGACACACCAACACAGTGACTGCCAGCAGATAAGAATTTCAAAAGAGTGGTTAATCAGATACCCACAAGTGCATTTGAAGCAAGCAGATGTTGTCTGGACACCATGGTGGGTCACTCTGACCAGGGCTGGCACAGTTCTTGGGAATGTTATGACTTTGCTGGGCTGCATTCACCCCCCTTGTTAGGTCCTGTCTAAAATGGAATTCTTTCTCAAAATGGAGTTTGCCTTGTTCCTTCAGTGTGATATGTGTTGGGGGGGAGTGTCTAGGGATTAATACACATAAAACCTATTTACCTTAATTTATACATTACTATTTCATTATTAATTACATTAATACACATAACATCTATTAGATACTGTGAGCTACAAATGATTTGAACTATAGCTGACAACTGTTCTTTCTTTTTTTAAATATTTTTATTTTATATGCACTGGTATTTTGCCTGTACATGTGTCTGTGTGAGGTTGTCAGGCTCCTGGAGTTGGAATTACAGACAGTTGTGAGCTTCCATGTGGGTGCTGGGAATTGAACTTGGGTTCTCTGAAGAGCAGCCAGTGTTCTTAACCACTGAGCCATCTCTCCAGCCCCTACTGTTGTTCTTTCTTTTTTTCTTCTTTTTTACGCAAGTTAAATTGGTGGCAACAACCAAACAAGTTATATTTTGAAAAAATTTTTTCCTACTTAAAACTCCAACCACCTTTCTGTAGGCAGAATAGAAAGGTAAAGCCTCCAAACCTAGCTCATGTTCTATTCCTGGAGGCCCTCAGTTCCAGCACCCGTTGATACTAAGCCAAAGACCAGACACAGGATGTGAGAGCTCCAAACGACTCCAGCAACGGGCTTCTTTTTCTTTTCTATGTGTTTGTTTTGTTTTATTTTTCAAGACAGGATTTCTTCATAACTTTGGAGCCTGTCCAGGAACCAGGTCTTGTAGCCCAGGCTGGCCTCGAACTCACAGATATCCGCTTGCCTCTGCCTCTCAGTGTTAGGATGCATGCACCACTACCGCCTGGCCAGCGGCGGGTTTCTTTCACCCACCCTCGATGGACCACAGGATGGGTGAGCTGCTAGTACAGCCACGGCTGTATGGGGACGGGAGAAGTACTTACGAGCTGTAGGGACTAGTTGGCTGGGTTTAGGTCTAATTCGAAAAGCCCACAAACACCGGAAAGGGATAACCCTGGTGGGTGGGCTAGTTTATGCGGAAGCGGAAGTAGACTACCGGAAGCTGCGACGACTCCCGCAATGGCCGAAGTACTGTCGGTTACGGCGGATTCCGTGGCCCGCTGCCAGGCGCGGGCAGCACACAAAGTGCTGAATCAGGTGGTCCTCCCTGGGGAGGAGCTGGTGCTGCCGGAGCACCACGACGTAGACGGCCTCGGCGGCGCCGGGGAGCAGCAGTTACGTCTCAATGCGGGGGCGCGCCCGCGGCTGCGCGTCATTTGTGGCCCGGGTTTGCGACGCTGCGGGGACCGCCTGCTGGTCACCAAGTGTGGACGCCTGCGTCACAAGGAGCCCGGAGGAGGCAGCGGTGGCGTTTACTGGGTGGACTCTCAACAGAAGCGGGTGAGCAGACTCGGAGAGGCAGTGCGGCTGCGAAAACGGAGTCCTAGTTCCGGAAAGACTCCCTGCGAGTGGGAGGAGAGGTTAAGACGAGCCTAGAGCCGCGCTCGCCTCTAGGTCCCTCTGTGCGTCTTCTTTAGAGGAACCACAGGAGAAACACATCCTGAGAAGGGCGAAAGGAGAAAAAGGCTCAAGAGTAGGAAGCAGCAGGCTTGCCGTTTGGAGTCCCAGTTGCAATAAGCAGGGAGTTAAATTTCTCGTAGAATAAGTAAGAGCTTTCACATAAGATGTGTCTAATGGATGTGCCACCGGATGTATAAAGATGCTGAAGTGTGAAACCCGACCCAGGTAAACCCCGGATTAGAGGCTACAAAGTTGGACTGGTGCGGGCCGATTTTGAACTTCCAGCTACTGAAGAGTTTGAGCATTGGTTGAGACCCACCTGAGTAATCTTGATAAAACTTGCTGGAGGTATTTTATAGTAGTATTCGTGCCGTTTATGGTTGTTCTTTCGTTCTGTTTTGTAGTATGTACCGGTGAAAGGAGACCATGTGATTGGCATAGTGATCGCTAAATCTGGAGATATATTCAAAGTTGATGTTGGAGGGAGTGAGCCAGCCTCTCTGTCGTACTTGGCATTTGAAGGAGCAACTAAAAGAAACAGACCAAATGTTCAGGTAATGGTGGGAGCCTTTGGTTTCACCAGTGAGAAAAAATAGCCATTCCCCATAACTGTCAGAGGGCGACCTAAATTGTCTCCAGAGCATAACGGGTCTTTCCAGTTCTCTGAGATGCTTTCCAGCTCCAGAGCCAGGGCAGTGTGCTTGCTTCTTCTTTCCCAGGTTGAAGGGTTATGCCTGCTACCTGCCATGTTTTTTTTTTTTTTTTTTTTTTTTTTGGTTTTTCGAGACAGGGTTTCTCTGTGGTTTTGGAGCCTGTCCTGGAACTAGCTCTTGTAGACCAGGTTAATCTCGAACTCACAGAGATCCGCCTGCCTCTGCCTCCCAAGTGCTGGGATTAAAGGCGTGTGCCACCACCACCGGGCCTAATTTTTTTTCTTTTTTTTTACCTGCCATGTTCTTACCCACCTCACAAGGAAAATGGCCCTAGTCTAAGGGACGCTGGCACTGTCCCCCATTGCTCATCTTGGCTCTAAATCCTTGGAGCTGACAGAGGCATAATCTCGTTACTGCAGGATTTCAGGTTGAGTTTGCTGGGCAGACATATTCTTCCTGAGGATGCATGTGAGCCAGAACTTGATGGTACCTATGCCACTTTTCGTCCAACTCTCACGGGTCTTGAGCCACTGGATCTGATTTGTTCCAGATCTTTGGCCTGCTGATTCCTTTGTCTCCCCACGTTCAAGCACTTGTTCTCTTTTGACAGAACCGGGCAGCGATCTCTTTAATACCTCTGCTTCCATCTGTTGACATCCTCATGGTGACATACTCCCTTTTTTAAAAAGAAATTTATTTTTTATATATGATTTTATTTATTTATTTATTTATTTATTTATTTATTTATTTATTATGCAATATTCTGTCTGTGTCTATGCCTGCAGGCCAGAAGAGGGCACCAGACCCCATTACAGATGGTTGTGAGCCACCATGTGGTTGCTGGGAATTGAACTCAGGACCTTTGGTAGAGCAGGCAATGCTCTTAACCTCTGAGCCATCTCTCCAGCCCCCCCCTATCTGGAATTTTTATTTAACATAACTGGGAGACAAATATTGACCCATATTAATTTAGAAAAATGGAAAGAAGCCAGGTGGTGGTGGCATACACCTTAATCCCAGCACTTTGGAGGCAAAGGTAGGTGAATCTCTGTGAGTTCGAGGCCAATCTGNTTCCCGCTCTTAACAGGAAAAGCAGGATTGTTCAAGCCCTACAGCATTTACTGGCACTGTGCTCCAGGGGTCTGCCCTCACACTAGTGCACTTCCTGTAACAGTGCTCAAGCTTCTCAGCACCACTGAACTTTGTTTCCTTCCGGGGTCTTTATTCATGATGGTCCTGTCTGGATTGCAGTGTCTCCTCACCCTGGGAGACACCCATCCTTTGAGGTGACTGTCAAGTCATTTATCATCATCACTTTCCTGTATCTTTACCATAGCACTGGATTTATTCTTGACCTTGTGAGTTTATTTATTCTCATTGCCCCATGCAAGACCATGTGTTCCTGAAAGCCATGAAGTGTGTTATGATTCTCTCTAGGTTTTGTAGTTACCTGAAACAGTGGGTACTTAAAAGTTATTTTTTAATGTATACATATTGAGAGTGTTTTGGCTCCATGTATGTATTTGCCCACTGTAACTGCTGCTTGTGGAAGTCAGACAAGAAGATCAGGTTCCCTAAAACTTGAGTTATGACTGGTTGTGAGTTGCTAGGAAAGTGCTAACCTGGACCCTTTGCAGGAGCAGCAGTACTCGTAACATGTGAGCCAGCTCTCTAACTCTCAACTGTGAGTGTCTTAATGTTGAGTGAAGAGAACAAATTCATTGTTTCTTAGCTTCATTATTTTAAAGTTGGGTTTTGTAAGTTTAAAGCAAATCTTCCATGAAGTAGCATCTGTGAATTACCACTGTCCCATTTTATTTTGAATATGGATGTCAAGAGTTTTTCCTTCCTCTGGTCAAATATGTAACTTTTGTAAGTAGTACTGATAGAACATTCTCCAATGACACCAAGTTTAGTTTTTGTATCTGCACTGACTGCTAGTTATTGCTAGTTACATGTGGCTGTTGAACAGCTGAAAAGTAGCTAATGCAATGAAGAACTGAATTTTGTATGTCTTAATTAGATACAAGGTTAAATATAAATTTAAATTAAACCACATATAATTTGGACAGTGCAATTTTGAAGGGTGTTCTTAGACCTTGAAATGACTCTTGCTGGAGGATTTCATGGTTATGAAGGGAGGACTCAACTTGAAAGTAATATCACTGGTCCCTTAGCTTGAGAACTGTGGCCTGCTGGCATTCTTGCCCATAGAACAGAACCAGCACAGCACCTATAGGATATATGATGAAGGGAGGAGAACTTACTTTTCTTTTAACCTTATAGGTTGGAGATCTCATCTATGGCCAGTGTGTGGTTGCTAATAAAGACATGGAACCAGAGATGGTCTGTATTGACAGCTGTGGACGGGCCAATGGAATGGGGGTGATTGGACAGGACGGTCTGCTCTTCAAAGTGACTTTGGGCTTAATTAGAAAGTAAGTTATGCAACCTTCCTCAAGACCCAATAATACCACTTTTAGGTATATATCCAAAGGATGCTCAATCGTGCCACAAGGACATGTGCACAACTACGTTCATAGCAGCTTTGTTTGTCATAGCCAGAACCTGGAAACGACCTAAATGCCCCTTGATTGAAGAATGGATAAAAAAAAAAAAAAGTGGTACATTTACACAGTGGAGTGCTATACAGCAGAAAAAAATAACAACAGCTTGAATTTTGCAGGAAAATGGATGGAACTAGAAAACATTATTTTGAGTGAGGTAACCCAGACACAGAAAGACAATTATCACATGTACTTACTCATAGGTGGTTTTTTAAACATAAAGCAAAGAAAACCAACCTGCAAACCACAATCCCAGAGAATTTAGACAATGTGGACACTAAGAGAGACTTACATAGATCTAATCTACATGGGAAGTAGAAAGTATAAAAAGACAAGATTTCCTCAGTAAATTGGGAGCATGGGGGAAGGTTGAAGGGGATAGGGGAGAGGCAGGGAGGGGAGCAGAAAAAAAATGTAGAGCTCAATATAAATACAGAAAAAAATTAAATAAATTAGGAAAAAGAAAGAAAAAAGAAGTTATACCTGTTAACTGCATTGCTTTAATGAAAATTAAAAAATATATTTTAGCTGGGTAGTGGTAACTCATGCCTTTAATCCCAGCACTCAGGAGGCAGAGACAGGCGGATTTCTGTGAGTTCGAGGCCAGCCTGGTCTACAGAGCAAGCTCCAGGACAGACTCCAAAGCTATACAGAGAAACCCTGTCTCAAAAACCAAAAAAAAAAAAAAAAAAAAAAAAAGAAAAAAAATAAGTTTACTAGTTCTTTTGAGAATTTCATAGTGTGCTTTGTTGCTCATTCTCACTCTCCATCTCTCCTGTAACTTGTCCCACAATCCTTTCCTACCTTCCTCCTCTGCCTGTCCTCCTACCCCTAAGTCTGTATCTCCCTCAAGTTTGTGTGCCCTCTTTTTGTTGTTGTTGTTGTTGTTTTGAGACAGGGTTTCTATGTAGCCCTGCTGTCCTGGAACTCACTCTGTAGACCAGGCTGGTTTTGAACTCAGAGATCTGTCAGCCTTTGCCTTCTAAGTGCTGGGATTAAAGGTGTGTGCCACTACTGCTTCCTGCCCCCCAAAATAAGCTATGATCCTCAAGTCTTAGAATTAAGGTGTTCAGGGGAAAGAGACTTTATACATTTATATGTTATACAACATTGGTGACATGACTGTACACTCTGGTATGTCTGAAAAGTAGAAGGTTCTTGGAAGAAATGGGGCATTGAGCTGGGCACAGTGGCATATTCCTGTAGTCCCAGCTACTTGGGAAGGCAGGACAGTTTTCAAATCTCCAAATCTGAGACTAGTTTAAGTAACCTAGCTAGATTTCATCTTCAAATAAAAAAGGGCTGAGGGAGGGTGGCACAAGAAATGGGGCATCAGATGGCATCGTGTGCCTTGTTTTGGGTACAATGCTTTGAATGACCACAGAGAACTACCCAGAGAAGGAATCTCCTTAGGAGAACCTCAACATGTCCAACTGCTTCATTAAACTTTCTTGTCTGTCTTTCCTACCAGGTTATTAGCTCCAGACTGTGAGATCGTGCAAGAGCTGGGAAAACTCTATCCATTGGAGATTGTGTTTGGAATGAATGGAAGAATATGGGTCAAGGCAAAAACCATTCAGCAGACTTTAATTTTGGCAAATGTCTTAGAAGCTTGTGAACACATGACAACAGATCAAAGGAGACAAATCTTTGCCAGATTGGCAGAGAGTTGACAGAGCACTTTTAATGGCTCATTTTAGTCAAGACTGTTTCCTGGGGAAATCTTTTTTTCAGATGAATCGCTTCCTGTCAGATCTTTAGAAGATGCATATTGTCTTACTAGAATCCAATAAAATATTTTTCTAAGAGTTACTGGTCTTCACTCATAGATAAGAAAATTATAAATTTTTATATAATAAATTTTGTATATAGCATTGTTTGAAGTTACCTTAGTTCTGTAGGGAACTGATGTATATATAGTACAGCTTCTATAGTGAGCTATAACTCAACATTAAAATTGTTATAATAGTTAACTTAATTGCCAGAGGGAAATCCATCTGTAATCCCATAAGCCAGCTGTTATGAATCCCGTAAAAGCTCATACTCACATACTGACCTTGTTGAAAAGTTCCAAGTGTTTTTACATCATTGGCTCATCCCTGGCAACTGCAGAAGACCGCACTCCTCATACTGAAGTTCAGGGTGTCACACGGCCCAAGGCTTAACCACTGTGTGTTTATGTTTTTAAAACTGAAGTTATAGGATGTTGTAACTTATTTTTATGTCTTCAGTTTTTTTCTTAAATAATATGATGAGGATTTCTGATCCTATTCTAGCCAAATGTTAGTTAACATCAGTTACCACAATCTTAAAAAAAAATAATACATGTTCCAGGTTTTAGATAAAGAGGAGAGGTTTGGACTTGGGTCAGAGAGAAAATTCTATGCTATTTATGTTATGAGACAAAAATGTAGACTGGCAAGTGATACGAGTTAAGTGGTTCTGGGTTTTCAGGCCTCTGAGCATGAGTTCTGCAACCCTGAAGCCTATGTGGCTGTGGCCCATCCCGTATGAGAACTTAAGGGGTTCTCTGAGGACGCCTATTTTCAGTAATAACGTATAATATATCAAGAAATAGTTCCCAAGGGATTGACTGGGAAAAGAGAAGGAAGTAGGCTGAGAGGTCCTTTTGGTTCTTTTGAGAAGCAGAAAACATGAATTTGTTAGCAGCTTGACTTTCAAGTTAACCCAAAATGGGAGGAGTAACAGTTTTATCTGTCTGTATAACAGATAGTGGGTGAGTGTGCTTGTGTGTCAGAATGCAGCATTCCTTCCCGGCTGCTCTCTGCTGGGTTTAACAATAACTACATGTTTGCTTTTTGACTAGATCTGGGGTGTATGTGTGTGCAAAGCTCTGGGTTTGTGTGAGGCTCAGAAGGCTAGGCAAAGCTATACAGACGAGAAGAGAGGAGCACTTGGTGACCATAATGAGGGAGAGCCACAGGAAAGAATGTCAGTCGGGCCTGCCCAGCTGAGACAGCAAAGCTGATGTGCGCAAGTGCCTGCTGGTGAAGAATCCTCACATACAGAGGTGATAGAAAAGTAATTTTATCCAAGTTCAGTAAAAAGCCCTGACAACATCTCTAAAAGGTAGACATTTCACAAAGAGCTCAATGTACAAAACATGAATTAACATCCAAAATGCCATGTATTTTGACAATTCATAAACTTTTTTTTAAAGCCATATATTATGTTTTATCAAGACATTTCCAGTGAGCACTGTAATTTCCAGGCACCGTAGGTGACACAAAACATAAACATGTGGTCCTAGCCATTAAAGGCTTTCAGAGACCCATGACAACACAAAGGCAGGTGTGTGTCACTGCCACCCTTTACCCTGTGCTTTGGTCAGGACACCTGTGGTGCTTCACTCACTCCATCTGGAATCTTACACTGCCCATCATCCACTGGATTCCGAAGAATGTAGCCTTTTCCTGGAGAAACTCCTTTCTTCAGTGCTTCAGGCCAGCTGTGAGTCTCAAAGTAAGTGGACAGGATATCAAACACTGTTGGAGGGAAACAGGAGGACAGACTAGTGAAGGACTAATGTGGAAAAGGATGTTGTGGAATGTTTCACCGGCCCAGTGTCCTCTTGAGTTAGGTGGTGGTAGAGGATGGGAAGAGAGAAGGCCCTGCCTGCGTACACACTGAGAGGAAAGGCTTGTGAAGAGATAACTTGGTGCAGGAGAATCGTCTGTATTCTGTCAATCATGTTTTAAATAAATGCTGATTGGCCAGGCAGTAAGTAAGGCAGGTCAACCAGACAGAAAGTAGAGGCGGGGCGATGAGAACAGGAGTATTCTGGGAAGAAGGAAGCCAATTCCTGCAGTCCAGCCCAGACCACCAAAGAAGCAACATGTGACCTACCCTGCTGTGAAAGGTACCAAGCCATGTGGCTAGCATAGATAAGCACAATGGATTAATATAAGCTACAAGAGTTAACAAGAAGCCTGAGCTAATGGGCCAATCAGTTTTATAACTTATGGAGATCTCTGTGTGCTTTTCTTTGCCGGCTATGGGGTACCAGGTGGGACAGAAACCCCAACAAGCCGGCCCTCCATGCTATAATAACTCTGCAACAGAGGAAGGCAGCACCATGGGAACACAAGCAAGGGGCTGATGTGGCCCGCAGTGGGAGGAAAGGCAGCCAAGAGGCCCCTAACTGAAGATATTGGCCAATGAAAGCAGACAGCAGGGCATTCTAGGCAAAGGATCCTTTCAGCCAGGAACAAAAAATGAGTAATGCCTCTCAGTGGCCAGATGCCTGCCAGCAAGTACAGGAGGGAGAGTCTAGGGACATGAGTCACAGGAGACTGAGTCAAGAGGCACTGCACTCAAAGCAAAGCAGCAAGCTGGGCGGTGGTGGTGCACACCTTTAATCCCAGCACACAGGAGGCAGAGGCAGGTGGATCTCTGTGAGTTCGAGGCCAGCCTGTTCTACAGAGCAAATTCCAGGACAGGCTCCAAAGCTACAAAAAAAAAAAAAAAAAAAAAAAAAGAAAGAAAGAAAGAAAGAAAGAAAAAAAAGAAAGGAAGGAAGGAGAAAGAAAGAAAGAAAGCAAAGCAGCAGTCTGAATACACAGAAAACATAGTGACCAGTCAAGAAAAAAGACTAGTAAATAGCCAGAAAAAAAAAAAAACATGTTGGGTTTGATGATGTGAGCAGTACCTTGATTGATGGCCAGTATTTCTGAATGGTAGTTTTTCTCATTCTGGCGCCTGACCATGTATTCCTGGATTGGCAAGCGGGCTGTCTTCACAGAGTGTTCTCGAGCTTTTTGGAATGTCACCTTCTGTAAATCAAATTTTCTTACTATAAAAATTATACATGAAGATGTTCATTGTAATGGACACCGCCAACATTGAGAATTCCTACACATTGCTACTTTTGTTGGCAGAAAGATAAGGGAGGACAATGTACTCAAATTACACACCCGAACAGTGCACCCCATTCGTGGCCGCCAGGAGGCCACCTGCCTGTTCTCAGGAGGATGTGACAAGGCAGAAGGTGTGATCCTTGCCTCTGCAATAGCTCTTCCCTATTCTCAACTGTTTCTTTTAAAATCTCAAATCTAAGAAATCTCAGAGACTCATTAAATTAATTCCCATTCCTGTCATCTTCATCTGCCAGCTAACATTATCAAATTTGCCTGAAAGTGAGCACAGATATCTAACAATTAGCATCTCACGGAGAGAGATGGTGGTCTCCGTTAATACACTACTTTTTCATTTCTGAAAATCTTGTAAGATTATTTAACACACAACCGTAATATTAAAGTCTCCCCTAAATCTTTCCCCTAGTCTATAATCCAGTCAAGGTGTCCATAGTGCACTTGACAGGTTTTCATGTAAGAGAGCTCAATCCACAGGCAGCTGGAAATGGCTTCACTTAATCCACTGCCTGAATCACTGACTACACTGGGAGCAACAAAACAATGACTTCCTAATTCCTATTAGCAGACTTCTGTAGGAGACCACTGTCCCTTTTTAGATTATTATTATTATGACACTAAGGAACACTTAGTTTTGTTTTGTTTTTTCAAGACAGGGTTTCTCTGTGTAGCTCTGGCTATCCTGGAACTTGCTCTGAAGACCAGGCTGGCCTTGAAGTCACAGAGATCTGCCTGCTTCTGCCTCCCGAGTTCTGGGATTAAATGCGTGTGTGTTTAACCATGCCTCTGCAGAACACTTAATTTCAAATACTTAGCTGTACTTAGTTTTAAAACCAAGTATCATCTGTGTTAAACAAGTGCTGCATATTTCTGTCTCACACAAAATACTTCTACATACATGATAAGCACATGTAAAACAAACCAACAAATATACCTAAGAAAAGTAAACCATGGCGCCTTGTGAGTTGAGGGGTCCAAGGTGGGACGGACATTTATTTCTCACTATGTTCCTTTCTGCAAATATAAACTATTATGTCTTTTTAATGTATGCTAATTAGTGAACAGAAGCAAAAAATTAATATTTGTATAATAGAAACAAAAATTAAAACTTCAGTAACAGTTTAATTATTCCAATGAAGCTCCAATTCAACAAAAGACACTTGAACAAGGGGCTGGACAGATGGCTCAGCGGTTAAGAGCATTTGCTGTTCTTAAAGAGGACCTGGGTTTGATTCCCAGTACCTATAGGTGACTAACAAGAATCTATAACTATAGTTCTAGGGGATCTGATGCCCTCTTCTGACCAGGCATGCACATGGTGACGACAGACATATGAGCAAAACATTCATATCCATAAAATAAAAAATAAATCTGAAGAAGAAGCCTGGACAGTTCTACTGATTTGAGATCCTGTGGGAATACGACTCCCACACCAGTAAGAAAGCCTAGAAGAAACCAACCATCTCTCCCAGAGAACCAAGTATGGAAAAGTGCTAAGCCAGGATCAGAGCCATACTGGCAGAAAGAAGAGAAGCAGCAAAATGGCTGTGTCTACATCACCAAGAACATCTACTCTGACTTCAGGTTCTGCTCCTGAAGGCCGGCCCGAGGAGAAGGGGCACCTCCAGGCAGGAGGGTGTTCTTGGAACAAGCTCTTCTTGTTTCCATGCAGGGAACAGGGCTAGGCCTTCTGGGTAAGATAACAACGGGGCTAAAATGTACACTTACCTTCTGAATGCTTTCATCTACAAGTCCACCAATGATGTAAACCGTGTTCTGATCAATGTCTTCAAGGGCTAATGAAAAAAATGAAGACCACTGAGATCAAATTTGTTTTATAATTTCTAAATCCAAAGAAAGCAAAAGGAAAGAAATATCACCAATGTTAATACAAAACAACAAAAGCTAATCCTCTG